TGTTAGTGTTCTCTACTGGGAGATCACCTACACTTTACAAGGAATTAAGGAAAGAAAAGCCCATGCTAACCCCAGATATTACAATTATGTCTGTGGGAACTGAAATAACATATGGTAACACTATGGTGCCTGATGATGGTTGGGAAACATTTCTGAATAACAAGTGGGATAGAAAGATAGTAACAGAGGAGACAAGCAAGTTTCCTGAACTCAGTCTGCAGGTACATTTATGGGTTGACATCAGATCATATGTTACTTCAGTTTCAATTACCAAGATTAAATTTGAATTCTATAACTTGAAAATCAAGTATGGTTTAAAAATAGTTTGTAAGCTGAAACATAACTTGAGCAATTGATGTCTATAAAAGCAACTTCTTTTGATCCGTGCAGTCAGAAACAGAGCAGCGACCACACAAGGTCAGTTTCTATGTTCAGAAAGAGAAAGCTCAAGATATAATGAAAACTCTTTCCAAGCGCTTGGAAGAACGTGGGGTATGATACAAATTCTCACTTCAGATTTGGCATCAATATGACTAGGTTCATAAAGGAAGATGATATCATGTCGTTCTTGCTATGATTCCAGTGAACACAATTCTTTAGATTCATATTGAGCTTCATTTCTTTTTTATCTCATTTATTTTCTGTCGTGATCATCAGCTGGATGTCAAAATAATTTACAGTGGAGGGATGGATCTAGATATATTACCACAAGGTGCTGGCAAAGGACAAGCACTTGCATATCTGCTTAAGAAACTGAAGAGCGAGGGAAAATTACCAAGCAACACCCTTGCCTGCGGTGACTCCGGGAATGACGCTGAATTATTCAGTATCCCAGATGTGTATGGTGTAATGGTTGGTGGTTCAGCTATTATCCAACATATCTTTATAATCGGGTAATATATTCTCATGTTTGTGATGATAAGTACTCTGAAAATGTACAGTCACTTTACAGGTAGCTAATGCGCAGGAGGAATTACTGCAGTGGCATGCTGCAAATGCAAAAAATAATCCCAAAGTAATTCATGCATCAGAGAGGTGTGCCGCCGGTATCATACAAGCCATTGGTCATTTCAAACTAGGTCCAAGTACCTCCCCAAGAGACGTTACGGATTTATCAGATTGCAAGATGGACAACTTTGTTCCTGCCTATGAAGTTGTCAAATTTTACCTGTTTTTTGAGAAATGGAGGCGTGGAGAAATTGAGCATTCTGAGCATTATCTGTCAAACCTGAAAGCAGTGTGTGTATGTTTATTACCCTATACCTACTGTAATTTCTTGTCTTATGTGTAGTGATGTGTATTTCGTATTTTCGTTTATGAATTTAACCGTGCATTCTAAAGAATTTTTCCTCCCCAAGTCTGGACAGAATATAAGCACTATTTTGTGTTTTTTTTACGTATAACTTCAATTGAGGTATCCTCCTTGTGTTGCTGAACTCTCTCCACCATCATAAAGAGAATCTTGACTCTCTCTACCACCATAAAGAGAAGCCTGTATAGTTCTATTTGTGGTAGCTACATATATGAACTTCAAGTAACAAACTATAAAGTAGTATTACATGCTCAATTAAAAAGAAGTGATATCCTATACGTTCCATGTACTCTCTCTGGTTTTTGTTTTTATGGTTGAGTGGGATGCTGAAGGTGAGAGCTGGGTTTAATTGAGGCCATTGCTTCTCATTGTGGCTGGAGATCCTTATTTTTTTTAACTCTTCTGTTGCTGCAGAGACCATCTGGTACTTTTGTTCACCCATCTGGTGTTGAGAAATCCCTTCAGGAATGTGTAACTTCATTCGGAACATGTCATGCTGACAAACAGGGGAAACAATATCGTGTTTGGGTCGATCAAGTTTTACCTTCACAGGTTGGTTCAGACTCATGGTTAGTGAGTTTCAAGAAGTGGGAGCTCTCTGGTGAGTATATGTTACCTCATGAGCCGGTCTTTCATTTTGCTCTCAACTTTGTACATGCTTCTAAATGTCACTGTGTTTCTCTTCACTTTTTTTTACAATCTATCACATGCTTTTCCCACACTGTGCCTTCGATGTAATACTTCCAACCTCATTTACTAAATTCTGTCCCTTCCTCGGTGTGTTTGTGTGACTCAAACACCCTTTTATTGGATCTGCTCTCCATCTTAATGAAGATATGTTTTTCTTCCTTCCATGGTAGTGAAGTAATTTTGTGAAGAGGCTTAAGGAGGTACCCAAGACTCTGTAGTTCATTAATATAACTTGGTATTAGATCTGCTTACATTTCAAATTCACATCTTAAACGGAGATGGGGTAAAGAGATATTACTTATGTTGTTGAAGTAGAAATCTTTTGGGACTGAGGCCTAGTTGTTATTTTTGAAATAGAAATCTTTTGTTCATTTCAAGCATGTAAACTTCATTTGACGTCAGGATCTGTACATGTTGATGTTGAAGCTGTATTCCAGCACCAGAGACGGCTATTAGGAAATAGCTGAATCCCGAAGCCATTCTTAAACATGCCTTAAATAAGATAATTATTTTGGCTCATTCCGCTGGATTGCTTTCTCTTTGCTAGCTCAATCATACAGCAGAATTACTTGCACAGTCCTGCAATCACCACCATCATAATCTACCAACCATACACAGAATCATCTGTTCCTTATCCTACGGAACTTCTAGAGCATACACCAAATCCACTGTTAGGCCTCTACAAAACCTCTTCAAGCTTCAACTGTGGATATTGGTAGTTGAAGCATAGAGAGTCGAGCATAGTAATGAGTCAAGCATCTAGCTTTTTCAGTTGAGCTTGTGTGAGGTTTAGGTGCTACAATTGTAATATTTGAGCCCCTAATCATTGGATTACAGTGCCTACACAGCTTTGGTCTGCTAAGAAAGTCTAACCAGAATAATCTTACCACTGAATACGCTCCCTATTTTCCTATCTGATTTCACCATAGGTAGTCAAGTTTAGGTAAACTATCATGCGTATTCCTGCTTCTGATGGGATGTGAGATGAGATCATGTAGTGATGTAGCTTCAGATATTTCATGCCATTATAGTCCTTTCATAAGGTCGTTAATGGTCGGTCAGTACTGGATCAGCACAGTAGCGGAGCAGCTCCATTTGTTAGCTGCTTGCCTTTACCTGCAACAAATGGACTTAACTGTTAGTCTCTGAAGGAAAAATGGGGCTGTCATAAGTAACCACCAATTTGTTGCAAGCAGGACTAATCAATGCTTATGCAATACTTGCATTTTCGTTCTCATATTTTTTCTTATTGTTTTCGCGATTTCTGTCTAACAAATTGCTAATTCGTGCAGGTGAAGACATGCGATGCTGCATAACCACAGTCCTATTAAGTTCAAAGGTAAAATTTCAACATTACAGACCGAAAGGAATTTTTCCACGTAAAAATCATACAACTGAAACCTGTTGTAATCTCCTCTTTGCTCGCAGAATAAGACTGTTGCAGACGGGCTCACTTGGACTCACGTACATCAGACATGGCTGCACGGTGATGCATCAAGTGACTCCGCAACCTGGTTCTTTTAGATTGCCATCTCAGTGTATTAACTCTGAAAATTCAGCACCCTTTTACCAGTTCACACCCAGAATAAACACAATATACAAACTATAGTTGATAATCAATGTATTACCATCTAAACCAGTGAAGATGGCTTTATCTTTTGTGTACTATAAAGAATTATATTAGTATCTATAGTTGTTCTTGTATTTGATTCAGAATTCAAGATGAGATTGTTGCAAATTATTGCATATTTAAGTTACAAAATCAAGAACATTGAAGTAACTACTAACTTCATCCACTACAACATTAAAGTCACAAAACTATATTTTCCGGGTGGGGTTAGAGAAGAGTAGGATATACTAAAACCTTATCTCTATTTTTGTGGAAAAGAGGTTATTTTTAATTGACACTCGGCTCAAAAAAGCGTAATCAAAATAGGTTTGGAAGAAAAATAATGACATCACAATAACGAGATACACGGAGCAAATGAAGCAACATGTAATAGTGAAAAATGAAAAATAAGATATTACTCGACGATTAGTTGATATTACAAATATAGAGTAGAGGAGATAGATCCCCTACCTTTTTCATTTAAAAATGTAGCAATACTTAGACTACATATTACCCTAATTTCTGTCGTGAAATTACACAATTTCTATTTAGGGTCATGTTCACAATAAGTTAAAGGTGTGACGTGTCTAATCTAATTATCTCACCTCTCCCCATGTTTTTCTTTGGCCTACTTTTGCTTCTCCTAAAACTTGTTATAGCTAACTCAATTCTTCTCAAGTCTGAACTATATCAGTCCCGTTTTCCTCATCTTATCGGTCATGGAGGTCATTCCCACCTTGTATTGTATAACTTCGTTCCTAATTTTATTTCTCCTTAATTATATGCTCACACATCTATCTGAGTATCTCATTTTCGCTACATTTTTCTTTTGAGCATGTACATTCTTGACTAGCAAGCAATTTTCTCCATACATCACTATGAGTCTAACAACTACTTTGTAGAACTAATTACCTTAAAGCCTTGGTGTGACACAAATTTATCACACAATTTTCCAGACGCGAGTTTTTATTTCACTCATCCCGATCTAATACGACGTGTGACATCACGTCTCGAGCGGTTGAAAAAATTGACTTTTATGTATTTGGTTTGGATTGTAAATTTAAAATAACCCTAACACAATTGGTTTAGTTTGATATTTGAAAAATCCTAAGCAACCTTTAGATTCTAAGTTCTGTCTCCAAGCATTTAACCTATCGTTAAGTACTCTATCGCGCGTCTGAATGTTCCCTAATCGCGATTGATATAAAAGCACGTGTAAATTCACGACATTCGAGAAAAGCAAATAAATAAATAAAAATAAAAATAGCACATTAAAAGATCAAACACTATCATATAGTGTTGTTCCTTTTGTTAATCCAAATATTTTAGTTGTTACAAGATTTCATCACCAAATCTTTCCATATTTTATATCAACAACATTTACCAAATTTATTTAGTTAAGACACTAATTTTTTCAAGGCACTCACTAGCAACCCCTTGAATCCAATTATCAAATTGCCTAAATTCAGTATCCTCTCCATATATTGAAATAGCACATTCATTGCAAGTATCAATATCTGTTGTCATTGCACTAATATCCAAATTTGCTTTATAATAATCTTTTGCTTTCACATCTTCTTCAGCTTTCTTCATCGCATCTACAGCATCTTGATACACTGATTTACATGTCTCTAAACAATCCGTCGCGTAAATGTCAGTATCTGGTTCCTCTAGACGTTGTTCAATCACATTTGCGATAAATTCTTCTGTCTTTGTCATCGTTGCTTCCATCATCGAGTTGATAAATACAGATACATCTCTAGTATTTGGGACGGTAGGTATATTTTTCGGAATTTCAATAGTTGCCTTAGGGGCTACATTAGAGGACGAGGACGAGGACGAGGATGAGGATGAGGATGGTTTAATTGGTGCATGGGAAGGTGCATGGGTTTTAGGTTGAATATTATATGCCTTAGAAGGAATTGTTGTAAGGAATAAAGAAATGGTAAATACAATAATAATTTTGTTAAAAAATGCCATTGTCTTTCTTTTTAATTTATTAAAAAGAAAGATAATGGGGAAAAGAAAGATGTGAAATTATGGAAATTCATTGGGAGTGTATTTATAGATAAAATGTGTTAATTTGTTTTATTGGCTATGCTTAAATATAGATTTTCAAGTGATTAATATTAAACTTCATTTGACAAAACTTGTTTATTATATATAGGATGATAGATTTTTTTTTCTTTGCCACACAAACTCAACCACTCACACAATATTGAATCAAATTAATTAATGGTGTTCATTATATATATACCAGTGTAGTTTTGGTCCTTTAAATTTCGAAAAAATCATCAAAATATATCTCTTATTTTATCATAATCTCTAAAATTCCCAATTATTTTTAAAAAATTCAAAAATCTCCCTTCGGATACATCACTATTCTCTCGCAGATACATCCCTATCCCTCTCCTCTCGGATGCATCCATCTGCTATTGTTTTTGTGCAATAAGTGATATGTTTGGTTTATAAATTATATAATGCATATGTTGTGCCTAGTGTAGTTTTACTTAATACGATTTGCTAGACGTTTTTTGGTTAAATCTTTCGCCTCATATCTAATATACAGAGTGTGTTAAAATATTTTTGTTCGAAAACCAAATGTGTTACGAAATAGATATTGAACCTAACTCAATTTTTATAAAAACTAGTTTCAAAAAGTAAGAATTATGTTAGAATATTCAAGGAAACAATTTTGCTTGCCTCCTATCAAAACTATTTGAGACATAATATTTAAGAAATTAACATCTAAATATATGTTATTTATTGAAGCAGTTGTACTGGAATCACTTTTTTTTTTTTAAAAAACGATATTATCATGTGAGGGTAGGGGTGGGCGTGGTATGATATAGTTAGGTATTTGAAACTTTGATTTCGTAATTTTAATGTTCGTGTTTTAAAAACTATTATATCATTATCATACCAAGTTAATACGGTATGGTTTGGTATTTTTGAAGTTCGATTTCGATATTCTGCGGTATGGTAAATCGGTAATCATAGTCTTGTTCAACTTTGACTAATATATATTCGTATAATAGAGTATTATGACTTCAACAAATCCAAAAAAATCTCAATTATATCATACTAACACATTATACAAGTAGAAATGTATTTAAAAGAAAGTACAAATACAACAAGACTAGGTATTGGTGTATATAAGTTAAATCGTTTCAAAATATTGCATGTTTGACGTATAAACTATGCTCCAACAAAAGTTTTAAAATTAAAATTGCTAAAAAAACATATATAATACAGCAGAAATTATATTGTTAACAATAAAACTGTTTTATTGAACGAATTTTTCCCTTTAGCAACAAAACCCAATACGTTATCAAAATTAGAACATTAATTAAAAAATCAAATTATCCAGGTTATCATAATTATAATTAAATTCCATCCAAACAACCTTAATAAATTGAAAAGCTTTAACTTTTATGCATTGAGGATACAATAGTAATTTTTTATGTTATCAGGTCACTCAAAATATAATTACAATTAATATCATTAAAAAAAAAAATGTGAATGTTACAATGAAACAAAACATACTAATAGTGTATAAGCAATCTTTTTTTTTTTAATTACTGTCAGTGTATATAAGTTAATTTATTTATTTTAACTGCTAAAGCCCACGATCTTTTCCATGGCATCGACAGTAACTTTTCCTGCCCAATCATCAAATTTAATAAATTCTTGATCATCACCATAAATTTCTTTAACACAATCCATGCAAGTTTCTAAATCAGTAGATAATGCACTAAGGTCAACATTTGCACTATAATAAGCTCCACTATCAACATCTACCATTGTTTTTTTCATCGCATCGACTGCGTTTTCGTACACTTCTTTGCATACTAAAAGACAATCTTTAACAAATGCATCAGCTGAGGGATCAATTAGACGTTTTTCAACAACATTATTGAGAAATTGCTCCGTTTTTGTAACGGTGGTTACCATAAGTGAGTCAACGTAATTGTTGACCGACTCTTTGTTGCCTAATTGAACGTTGCCATTTGGCATTTCAAGATTTAGCGATGATGATGGTGATGGTGATGGTGATGGTGAGCCGTTTGGCGATGATGATATGTAGGAAATACCTATTGGGGAGGGGGTGGGGGAAGCAATGTTGAATTGAAAAACAAGAAAAGAAAGGGAAATGACAAGTAAGACTTGGTTGTGGAGAGCCATTTTTTTTTTCCTTTTTCTTCTTTTATTGATTCACAAGGAAGAAAAAAGGAAAAAAAATGATAATTTATTATTATGAGGGAAAGATGAAATGATTTAACTAGGGTTGTATTTATATTTAGGAAGAGTGAGAAGTTTATATGGAGATCCAAGAAAATAGATTGTCTAAAGGTGAATATTTTGGCCTTATTACAAGGCAAGTGTGGGCTATAGGTCAAGTTGTTTGTTAGAATTTTAAAATTTAAGGGTCGTTTGGTAGTGTATTAGAAAAAATAATGCATATATTAGTCTTGTGTATTACTAGTACCTTGTTTGGTACTCTTTTTCAACATATGTATAACATTAGTTATACACTCTATTGTGTATTAAGGTGTGCATTGCTAATACCATGGATTTCTATGTATTAGCAATGCAATGGTTTTAATGCATGCATGAAAATGATTTAAAAAAAACCCAATTGTCCCTCAAAACCTTTTTTAACATCTTTTCCACCATAAAAGTGGCAGCTATCTTTGTAAGTAATTTTGTAATGTAATACATACTATTTTTAATGCATCAAACCAAACAATGCATTAAAATAATCTATGTATAATTAATGCAAGCATAACTAATACATGCATTACTAATACACTTTATTTAACATTATTCTTATACACTCTTTCAAACGACCCCTTAGTGTTATAGTACTTTACAATTTACATGTGTCAAAACTTCCCCAATTTCATTTTATTTGTCTAGAATATTATAACTAGCTAAATTCCCTTTTTAACATTTTAGTTTTTTCGATTAACTTTTTTGATAAGTTAAAAATAAATTATAGATAAGTAAATAGTTTTATATGAAATTCAGAAAACATTCATATCTCAAGTGTTGAAAGCTACTACTAAGGAACCCTATCTAGAAAGGATAGACAATTGAGAGATCATATAGCTAGGGCGATAGCGACAGACATAGAAACTGAACTAAATTTAAAGATTACTTCTGTGAAGGAAAGGAAAGAATTATTTAAGCGATAACAACTAAATACTTACATTAAATTTAAATCATATTAATTTAATTACTATGATTAAATTAAGGTAAGAATATATTTAAATATAATATACACACAAAATAAGAATGCCTCCAAATAATTTGACATTTTATATTTATTAAGATCTAGTAAACTTTTGTATCAGTTTCTTTTCCTAGTAATAAACCATAGAGTTTCCTCGAGAAAATTAAAGAAAGAATAATAAAATTACATAAATTAAAAAGGGCCCAACCGGGTTCGAACCGGTGACCTCTTGATCTGCAGTCAAATGCTCTACCACTGAGCTATGGACCCTTTGATGTTAAATGCAACTATAATATTATAGATAACCAAACAACTATAAAAAAAGAATTTGTTGTTTGTTGCATTTAAGTATATGCTTAGACTAGATACGTTTATCATTTTCTCTGTTTCGATTTATATGACACAATAAAAATTTTGAGAGTCAACTAAGTTTTTTTTAATTGAAATTTCTTTATGTATGTGAATTTTAAATATTTAAAGTTATTAATAATTGTGATTTATAGTAATTTTTATGTAGTTTTTAAATATGTAATGTTTGTTTCAAAAAATCTTAAAGCTTCTAAATTTGCATCAAAATTTAGAATTTTAGAATCTCAAAATTCCAATAGTTCCATATAAATTTGGATACGAGTGACTACAACATTCTTCCCCCCTTCCTATTCAAAACATAAATATCTTGTGAGTTTAGTTGAAGCCATAGTTTTATTTACAAATTCAATATAATTCAATAGCTTTAACTTAAATTTTATTTTTATATTATGTATAAATTATTTATTTAGAATTCAATAAATTATTCCTTACTTGTAAACTCATAGTTTATTAAAATTTAGAGCTAATAAATTCAAAATTCTAATTTCTTACGTAAACATGACACTTGAATACCCAACCAACTTCTATACCTACAATAATAATATATTTTTTATATATGCAATAAAAATATCCCTCATGAAAACTTGTGTTTTATGGGACAATTAAATTCATTTGCCGCCCCACCAATTTCCCACTTTTTCAGGAATAATAATAATATCATGCATCATCTATTGGAAGTAGATGTCTGATTGTCGTTTGATACGAGGGATAAAAATTAAAATAATTTTACTTATTTCATTCTGTGTATCAAAGATGCATTCAACAAATTGAATTTAGAGGCGGATATTGCGTTTTGACAATGACGCATTCAGTTCAGTATTTCTATATACGGAGATATAAATTGATGTATAAAATTAGTTTAATTGTAATCGAGAAAAATAAAGATAAACAAATTGAAACGGTGAATATTTTTTCTAAAAAATTGGGTATAATGAGGGCTGAGACTCTGCCTTTACTCCCTTCCCACGCCACCCTAGTCATGTGATGTTAAAGTTTTAAGTATAATAATACTAGTACTCCCTCCGTTTTACAAAGAATGACCTGGTTTGACTTGTCACGGAGTTTAAGTAAATAAAGAAGACTTTTGAATCTTGTGGTCCTAAATTAAAGTTAT